CTCTGTCTCACCAAAAAAAAAAAAAAAAAAATTATTGTTGTTTAAGAGAAGGATTAACATGGTTTTTTGATTTGAACTTTTATGTATAAACTGTGGTTTGGGGGTGGCGCTTGTGGCTCAGTGAGTAGGGTGCCGGCCCCATATCCTGAGGGTGGCGGGTTCAAACCCAGCCCCGGCCAAACTGCAAACAAAAAAATAGCCGGGCATTGTGGTGGGTACCTGTAGTCCCAACTACTTGGGAGGCTGAGGCAAGAGAACTGCCTGAGCGCAAGCATTTGAGGCTGCTGTGAGCTGTGTGATGCCATGGCACTCTACCAAAGGTGATAAAGTGAGACTCTTAAAAAAGAAAACAAAACAAAACTGTGGTTTTGAAAATGAAAGAGCAGAACAGTCTTGGAGAGGTTACTCTTGCTGTTCTCCAGAATCACTGGCCTTCTGATAATAAAGCTAGTCAGACCTAACCCTGTCTCTGTATATTGGCTGGACAGTGACAGGCAGCTGACACTCTGTTCAGTAATAGGCACACCCCCACCCCCAGACATGTTTGTATGTCTCAATCCAAGACTTCCTAGGGACCCACAGCCAACCCACTCCAACTCCCACAGCAGCCACAGCCCCCACCACTCCCCTGGGTGGCACCTGAAGTCCCTGCTTGCCTCCTGGAGAGGTGGGGGCTGCCAGACACTCAAGAGATATGACCCAGTCTCTGATCCAAGGGAAGAACTTCTCTTCAAAAAGAGCAAACCTCTGCTAAGAGCCCAGGAGCTGAAGACCAGCCTCGGGGTGGGGCCGGGGGAGAGAGGAGTCACTGCCCCCAGTTGCCCCTCAGCCCACCCTGCTACCCAGCCCTCTTCTGCTGTAAATGACAGACCCAGCCCTCCCCAAGTCCAATAAATACTCCTTAGGCCAATCCGCTCCTGTCCTCCATAGCAAGCCCAGGAAGCCCCAGGTCACCAGCAGCTCAGCAAGCTTGCCCCCATGTTTCCTGCCAACACAGGGCAGAGAGCCTGGATGAAGAAGGAAGAATCAGGGTGGGAGCGATCCACAGCATCCCCTCCCACCCTGGAGCCTAAGGGTCCCCATGCCCAGGACCCACCACCCTGGTTGCACTCACACACACACACCTCCCTTCATATAGCTTCTGGTTACCTAGAGGGTGTGGGTCTCCTCCATCTGTGGGCCAAACCTCAGTGGGGTAGCTGAGGCTGAGAAGTCACCCAAATACTTTCAACTCACCTGGCTCTGGCGCACCCCTGACTGTAGGGAAGAGGTGGGAATAGGCAACATTGGCCCCTCTCAGTGAGTTCAAGTTGTCTCCTATTTTCTCTTTCTTGCTCATTCTCTCAGTATCTTTTGTTTTGTTTTGTTTTTTGTTTCAGTTAGAGACTCACTCTGTCACCCTGGGTAGAGTGCCATGGCATCATAGTTCACAGCAACCTCAAACTCCAGGGCTCAAGTGATCCTCTTGCCTCAGCCTCCCAATGCCAGCTAGTTTTTCTATTTTTAATGGAGAGGGGGTCTCACTCTTGCTCAGGCTGGTCTTGAACTCCTGAGTGCAAGGGATCCACCCACCTCGGCCTCCCAGAGTGCTAGGATTAGCAGAGTGAGCCACCATGCCCAGCCCTGTCTCTCAGGATCTTCATCTACCTTTCTCCCCATCACTCTCTGGTACACTCAGTCTCCCTCTTACACAGTATCTCTCTCTCCCTCTCTACCTCTCCCCATCTCTCTCTCAATCTCATCTCTCTCATTCACTTTCTCAAATATTCAACCCCTCTCAATAGGGTCTTAATCTCTCACTGACACTCCCTCTCTGCCGCTGCCCATACACACATACAGGCAGCAGCCCCAGTACCCAAGAGTCTGTGCCTCAGGGCCTCAGTACTGAACTAAGGCAGCCCCAGCAGGAAGGCACACCCATACGTGAACTGCACGGGCACACATGCCCACACTTGATATGCACAAATAGAATTTGTGTCAACCCCTGTTCCTGGGCCTTTGTGTTCCATCTGTGGCTCTTCTTTGGGTAACTCAGGCTAGACTTGGACATGGAAAGCAATTGGGGCAGGGGAGCTACACTGAGACCCTACAGGCCAGGGCAAGGCCTGGCTCTGGCTGCAGAACCCACTGTTCACCAGAAAATGTGGGATGTGGAGACAAGAGTGAACTACGCAGACAGCCTGTGGCCTGGAGAGTTCACCACCTGGCAGGGGGAGGGATAGCAAGAGAATAACAACTCAGATCCACGAAAGCACAACCGTGGGTGGCCAAAGTCACAGATGCAGGTGTCAACAGATCCCTGCATCAGGGGAGACATCCTACGGACAGGTGGGTGTGGCACCCAGAGCTAGAGGGTCACAGACCATCTCCCTGGATGGGGTCTGGCTCTCACACTGCTCCCTCAACCTCCACAACCACCAGGTCCACGTGACTCCCAAGAATGGACTGCAGGTGCTGCCTTAGCAAACAAGCTTGGAGAGCAGGGGCTACATATCATGGGTGGCGAGTAAATTGTCACAACTGGGAGACAGGCTTCATGGCATCCATGAGATCAGAAGGAGTTGTGTTTTCTCTGTTTGTTTTGAGACAAGAGTCTCACTCTATCTGCCTGGGTAGAGTGCTGTGGCATCACAGCAACCTCAAACTCTTGGGCTCAGATGATCCTCCTGCCTCAGCTTCCTAAATAGCTGGGACTACA